CCCCGTCACAAAAATTTAGTTTATAATATACATTCCTTTTAAAAACACAGAAATTAAAATTAAAATTGCACAGCCATTCAAATCCATGTTACTGTTCCCTGTGACCACTCCTCCATCATCATCACCTCCCAAATGCCACTTTATGAAAAACTAAAAAAACAACTCATGAAATGTTTCAGAGTTTAAGGTTTTTTTGTAAATTAACAAAATTGTATTGCTAATTTTAAAAAGACATACTAGGTTTCCACAGAATGGCTCTTGCTTTTTTTTTTGTCTGTGGCCTCTCTCCTTTGTTTACATTTTTAATACTGTAAAAGGTAGGAGGTATAGAACAGGCTTTACACTGTTTAACCACTTGCTGACCACGCCATTTTTCAGCATTCAGCGCTGCAGTACTTTGACATTTATTCCGTCATGCAACGCTGCACTGAACTTTTATGCTGGGGACAGATAGAGCTTTCTTTTGGTGGTATTTAAAGGGGAACTATGGGGTGAGTGCTTTTCACTCACCTCATAGTTCTAGCCGACCTGTGACAATGAGACTGTCACAGGTAGGCTCAGTAGATCGGGAGGTGGGCGAACACATACCGGCGTTCGCTCACCTCTCGATCCTGTCACTGCTCTCTGCTGTGACAGGGGAGGGGGCTGATTCCCCCCTCCCTGCTCCGATCCGCCAGCGCTGACTGGTGGATCGGACGGGGGAGGGGGCGGGTGCAGCTGGCTCTGCCATCTAGTCACGCAGCTGGGCGGATCCAGGCATAACTGTCGGGATCCGCTTCAGCTGTGGCGTCTCAGTATACCGCGAGCTACAGCTCACGGTATACTGAGCCTAGGGTGATGGGAGGACGCTAGTTTGTGTCCTCCCTTTACCCGGAGAACTATGGGGAAAAGCCTTAACCCCATAGTTCTCCTTTAATCACCACTGGGGTTTTTATTTTTTACTATATTAAGGAAGTTTTTTTTACATGTTAGGAAACAATTATAGAACAATTATAGAATTGTAGAATATAAAAGATGGGGTCATGCCAGGTAAATGGACTCCAAACATGTCAAGCCTTAAATTGCACGCACCCGCAAAATCGCAAAAAACTACCATACCCAAAATTGACCATAGGCGACACTTTAAAAGCTTTTACCACTTTAGTGTT